GACCTGTTTGGAGCTGGCCGATATATGTAAGAGGTGGGTCTTCCTGCCGGTGTTCTTAATATTCTACCTGGACTGGGCCCTGAAGCTGGTGCACCTTTGGCAATCTCATCCCCATGTGGACAAGGTACCTTTTATCTTTTTTCATTTCTTATTGCATTTAAGAATTGATCTTTAAAATATCCACAAATTTGGCAATTTGGAGACATTGATGTTTCTATTACTAAGTAATGTCCTAAAATATTATATCATAACAGATTGCATTACTGGAAGCTCTGTGACTGGAGCAAGATAATGACAGCTGCAGCTCAGATGCTTAAGGTACGCAAGTGCTAAAAAAACATTTCTTTTTGCTGACATTTGCATTATTCTTTTGCTGACATTATTGTGTTGTTTTCCAGCCTGTTACTTTGGAGCTGGGGGAAAAGCCCAATTGTTGTATTTGAGGATGTTGATCTTGATAAAGGTCAGCACCTTCTGGACAATCTAGGAATTTATCCGTGCTTCTCAGATTTTTCATTTTCTTTGATAGAAACAAATTGCTCAGGGATTCTCGGTCATTGATGCATGATTTCTGAAAAATTAGTATATATTATTGAAGTTGTTGATTTTGCTATCAATTTACTCTTTGTCTTATATTCAAACAGCTGCTGAATGGACCTCTTTGGTTGCTTTTGGACAATGGTCAGATGTGTAGTGCAACATCCCGCCTTATTGTACATGTAAGTGCCATATGAATTTAAATGTCCTTTATACATTTATTGATTCCATTAAAATTAGTCTCTGACAAATGTCAAAGGGCGGTTGGGCACATCAATTGGGGAGTTATTAACTTAAAGGCAACCTAATAACAACCCACTGATATATAGCTAGTAACAGACCACAAGCCAGAGGAAAAATGAACGCAGGACACTCTGCAAACAGAAAAGTAGATGGAAAAGGAAAAATAGCAGATTTTCAAGCTTAGTCAGCCACTTATGATCCAAACAGAAAACTCAATGAACTATATTAAACTAAATTAATATTACTGAATCAACTAATGAGAACTTTAAACAATGTGCCATCTTGTAGTTATGAAACCTACGTTCTAATCCAGACTAACAAGATGACAAGATAAACATACCTATTTAGTATTTCCCTGCTTCATTATTGTAATTGAGACAGAATCTAAACCTTGCATTAAGCAAACAGGTTGCTAACACAGCTTCATCTTTGTTTCTACTTTGATAGAGTAAACAAAAGTAGCTAATACCATAAATACCATTCTCCGAGCCTTCTGACAGATAAGAGGAATATGCCTGATGTGCCCAGTAGCACAATCAATTAAAAGCTTGTACTGATGACTAACCAAAAGTAAAATGTTTCTATTACCATGAGAATTATATATTGCATTCTGAATTTCCAGCTTGTTTTCTTTGAATTTTTAATCACTTATAGAAGTATATATTGGACAATATATCTCAGGAAAGCATTGCAGCAGATTTCTGGACAAGCTTGTGAAATGGGCCAAAAACATTAAGGTATCAGATCCATTCGAAGAAGGTTGCAGGCTGGACCATCGTTAGTGGAGGACAGGTAAGAATGCTCAATTTTTAGGATGAATGGTTGAATGAAAGAATCTTCTTTTGTTTCATTTTCCCTTTCTATTTAAATTGATTGTTGATTTTTTTGTGAAACTAAATTCCCCTTGACAAATCTGTATCAGATTCAGCGCCACAGTTTCTGTAACAATATGAATCTGTTTCTTTGCTTGAAATATGGTGCACGATTTGGCTGGTGCATACTGATATAACTCAATGGAATGTTCATAACTTTTAGCATTTCTCTTAATTGAAAAAGATCTTTCTAATATTTACTTAATCTGCTGCAGTATGAGAAAATATTGAAATTCATTTCAAACGCCAAGAGTGAAGGTGCAACCATTTTGTACGGTGGGGCTCGCCTCAGGTATGATCCTCTACTTTTATTGTCAGCAGTGCGTTCTTTCTCAATCAGTCATGTAGTCAATTCATTTCTCAAATGATTGGCAGCATTTGAAGAAGGGTTTTTGTTGAGCCAACCATTAAACTGATATAACTGCATCTATGGAAATTTGGAGAGAAGAGGTTTTTGGACCGTTCTCTGTGTTAAAACATTTAGTACTGAAGATGAAGCCATCGAATTGGCAAATGACACCAGTGAGTTGATTTTTTTTTCTTTTTTTTACTAAGAATAATATTTGGATCTTTCCTTTTTCCTTTCTTCATTTCCCAAGTTATGTTCTGAAAATCTATATTCGACAGTTATGGCTTAGGTGCTGCGTGATTCCAATGATTTGGAAAGGTGTGATCGTGTAAGCAAGGTGAGACTTCTGAAGTAATATGCAAGCATACAGCTAAGATAATTATGTTAAAATTAGTTTATATAGATGTAACACCCCCCCCAATGTCAAGATATTGCCTTGGATTCTCTCTTACCCACCTCAAATAGTGGGTCCCAGAGCATATTCCCTTGATTTGAACCCATGACTTCATCATTGGAAATGAATCAAGAGTCAAATTGAGTATTGTTACTCTTGATGTTTTCGAAGGATGAAGTCCTGGGTTTGAATAAAGGGGGATGCACTGTGAGCCCTACTATTTGAGGTGGGTAAGGTGCGTAAAAGACAAAAATTTAACAATATCTTGACAGTGGGCTGAGCTGTAAAACAGTCATCTGATTTGATGAGTAATGTTTCTTGATTGCTTTTTGCAGTCTTTCCAGGCGGGTGTTGTATGGATCAACTGCTCACAGCCATGCTTTTGTCAAGCACCATGGGGAGGGAAAAAACGTAGTGGTTTTGGGCGTGAATTAGGAGAATGGTATGTTCTCTTTATTCAGATAGAAATAGTACAAGTACTGTGAATATTTTGAGTAGGACCTAAGTAGTTATGGGAAGTTCTCACTTTTCATTTTATTTATTTATCTCTATCCTATAAATATATTCTCATGTGTATGTCAAATTAGTGTTTGTATACTGCTGATACTAATAACTTAGTTTTCTGGGTGGCTTTTTGCAGGGGACTTGATAATTACTTGAATGTGAAGCAGGTGACTCAGTATGTCTCTGATGAACAATGGGGATGGTACCAATCTCCTTCAAAGCTGTGAGTGTCCCTGAAACAGAAATTGGAAATCACGTGTACCAAATGAGAGAGAATAAGGTTAAAGTGATGTAGTTTACTAAGCTCTATGTAAAAGACCTTTTAATAATATAATAACGTGAAATGGCAGAACTCGTTTGTGAGAATATTTGTTTGCCATTTGTGTTTTTCTTGCAAAGTCTTCAGCTTGTGGAGTGTGACTATAATTGCATGGCATTAACCTGTTTGGTGCCTGCGCATGCCATTAAGCGAATGGTTTTGTAATGGTAGTCTACGGTTAGACTACCTCACCAGGCCCCATTGGCATGCTTTGTTGAATAATAAGGAGAAAACTTTTGTAGTACTATTCTCTCATGGATCCTTTTCAGAGCCCCATAGTCATTTGTGTCTGAGCTGCATACTTGTCAGACGTCATTATTTCTTCTACGATTCAATCCATGCTTTGTTTGGACTTTGGACAAGCTCAATGCTTCGTTTAATGGTATTATAGGCTTCCCAAATTTAACTGCCATTAACTCGATTTTGTTTCATTAAAATCTTGGTTAATCTTATAAGTTCGGTAATATTGTCTGGCTGGAAATGTAAACACGATGCAAAATGAAATTCCTGTACATCAACGCCACCTGACTAGCAACAATGGCAACCTCTTTTCTCTTCTCTTACCAAGATGCGATTTATTTTCACATGGATAGATCTACATCTTCCATCTTTCTCGAACTTCGATAATGTACTTAACTTTTTTATTCTTAATTTGGAAGCAAGTTCATGCATGATGGTAGTCTACGACTGCCAACTCGAAATCTGACTCGGTCAACAAAACAGTACTTAAAAAATGTGGGCTAAATTCATTTTCTTCTGGTGGTAATCCAATAACTTTATGAATATGATTGGAATTTGGCGGTGATGAAGATTAATAAATACATAACACATCTGCACCACACAAGAGTTGACTCCCGTGGATATTCTCTTTTAATTAAGATACTGATTGTGAATGGAATTTTTAATAGCAAGTGCAAATGCTCTTTACACATATTCAAATCAAATTAAAGCCTCAGAGGCACCACGAGCGTACGGAAAATATTCAATTTTATCCTTTAAAACTTTTTCCTCCTGTCATTCAGCATCCACATCCTTCTATTGTTCTAAACAAAAAAGCTAAATTTGGGAACTTTCGTATGTTTTTCATTTTGGTTTTTAATAATAATATCTTTCTCAATAATTTATTATATAATATAAATCTATTTTTATAAACATTAGTTGAGCAAGAATGGGAATTTTCAGTGCGTCAAATAGGAAAGGGTCTCCTGTCCTATATGATGCAATGCAAATGATTGCGTTTGATTACATAAAAGGGTCCTGAGCACGTAGAAGATGATTTGATGCATATATAAAACTCAAGGTGGTAGGCCATGTTCAATATATATATAATTTATAGAAGGCAACAAGTCAAAACCATTGGTGCTAACGAGGTAAATTTCTCAACTAGATCGGAAAGAGCCCCCACTTGATAAGCGAGAAAAAACATGTCGAAAGGAAACTTCGTTGGTTGTCTTTGCTTCTTATGTTGTCTTCGCCACACCTTCATCTAACCCTTTTAACTCTTTAACCACACTTTATTTGGATCTTTACTTGCATTTTACTCATACGTTTCACTCAGAAGTCAAAACAATACTAACCATAGCCCATAGGACCATATCCCCATTCTATTTCTTTCTCTTTTATATATATATATATATATTTATCTATTTCTCTCCACTCACAACACACACAGAGATTATATTTATTTATATATGCTAAAAATACCGATATTTTTGGAATTTTGAGCCTTACTGTGAACTTATTTGTTTTTTAGTGAGTTCAATGGTCCCTTACTGAGTCACTTATATTTGCTCATTTGGGTTCTTGAATGAATTGACATTGTGTGTTTCATTATCTAACCTGAGTTTTTGATTTGAAGATCTGAGTTTGTGTTGAATTTTGGAGATGGGAACCTCAGAGGATAGAGTCGTTGCTGTGATCATGGTGGGCGGTCCCACGAAAGGTAATTGAATTGTGATGTTTGATTTCATTTCATTTACAGGTTTAATATTTGTGGGATAATTTTCAATTTTGGATGTGTTAACCAATCTTCACTATATTGGGAACATTTGCTATCTGGTTTGAATTTAGATATGATTGATAATGAAGCTTGATTGGTGTTGAAGTAATTGGATATGAAACGAAAACTTTCATTGAATTTTGTTGAAAACTTTTAAAATTACAGGTACCCGATTCCGGCCCCTGTCACTGAATATTCCTAAGCCTCTTTTTCCTTTAGCTGGAGAGCCAATGGTCCATCATCCGATTTCTGCTTGTAAAAGAGTATATTCTTGGATCCTCACTTAAAAGTAAATCCCTGTTTATTATTTGAAGAGTGCTTGAGATTGCTTTTTCTGTTACAGATTCCAAACCTTGCACAGATCTATCTTGTTGGATTCTATGAGGAGCGTGAATTTGCATTGTATGTTTCCTCAATCTCAAATGAGCTTAAGGTCCCTGTCAGGTAACTTCTTGCTGTTCTTCTAGGTCTATTTCTCATTTCCAGTTTTTCAAGTGTTTTGGTTAAATTTCAGTGGAAATTCTTGTTGTTTAATGTTGTTGTTAGATATTTGAGGGAAGACAAGCCTCATGGTTCAGCTGGTGCGCTTTATAACTTCAGAGATCTGATCATGGAAGATAGCCCGGTTATTACCTAAACCTAATTATTTTGTGTAGGCATACTGTTTTGTCTAAACATTTCAATCTTTAAAAAATTCCTTGTACCTTTTCTCTAATATATAGAACATTGTTGCATGCTTAAGTTGTAATATATTTAGTAGATTATAGTTGTTTTTCTTTTTTATTAGAATGTGATTAGCAATTATTTTGTCAACAGTCTCATATCTTCCTGCTGAACTGCGATGTTTGCTGCAGTTTTCCACTGCCAGAAATGCTTGGTAACTATCTTCTTTTCTCCTAGAGTGGATTTTCTTCTCATTCCTTTTATGAATAGTTGAATCTATACCAATTAGTGGTGTTCCTGAATGTCATGTATGAATGATCCAAGTAAAGCAACAACTTCAATCAATATTATAAGGTTGCTATTTTAAGTTTTATTGGTGTTCTCAGTTTTCACAGAGCTGTAATTGCTGTTTTTTTGTTTCCTTTAATATTTTCAGATGCTCACAAAAGATATGGTGGCATGGGAACTATACTAGTCATCAGGGTTAGTGAAGACACGCACAAGATATTGTATAGATGAATTTTATTTCAAAATTTTCTCATCTCTATATTGGTTGTCACTCTTATTTTATTGTGCAGGTTTCTGCTGAGTCAGCCAGCCAGTTCGGTGAATTAGTTGCTGATCCAGTTACCAATGAATTGTTGCATTACACAGAGAAACCTGAAACTTTTGTATGTACAATATCAGAGACCTTTCTACTTCATAACATGTCAATAACCTTTCTTATTGCATACTGTTCATGAAATTTTGAAATAGTTTATTGCCTTGCTCGTTCTATTTTTTTGTCGTTACTTATTTTTTTTTTTGTAAGTTCTTAACAGTTGTGTTTTAATGTAGGTAAGTGACCGCATAAATTGTGGTGTGTACGTATTTACATCAGATATCTTTACTGCCATCCAGGGTGTTTCATCACAACTGAAACACAGAGGTCGGTGATACTAAACTGTCAGTTTGACGCCAGACTGATTAAGTTAGAAAGTTCATGTAGTTTAATACATACTTTTAACCGATGTGACTGCACAACACATGGCCTTAGTAGAAATCAAAATTAAGTTTAATCAAGTTTTTGACACATTTATTTGAATTATTGCTATCTGAGAATTTCGAGACATTGACATTTGTATTCGTATGTTACAAATTATCTTTTGTCTCATTTTTCTATTTCTGGCGTTGATCTACAAAACCAATTTCTTTTTTCGTCATTTGCAGAAAATCTGAGACGTGTATCCAGCTTTGAAGCACTTCAGTCAGCTACGAGGTATATCTGTTTTCTGGTTCTCAAAATTTTCACTGTTTAGTTTTCTGATTCTTCAGGTGTTACCTACAGCATTAACAGATGACTTGGTATATATTAACTATTAATAAACACATAATATGTTTTACACCCTCCATGAGCAGGGCTGGGTGTCATTGGAAATTGAAATCTTGATAATACAGTAAGCACTAGGCATTCCTTGGTGAAGAGATTTACCCAATGTTTTTATTTAGAAGCTAATTCTAAACTTGGGAAGATAATGTCACTTTTGTAAGTTTCTTATTTGAAAGATTATATAATTCATGTCAACTTGCCCTAACATGAGGTCCTTTAACAGGAGCTTTCCAACAGATTTTGTTAGATTGGACCAAGATATCCTGTCACCTCTTGCAGGAAAGAAGCAGTTATATACATACGAGACCATGGATTTCTGGGAACAAATTAAAACTCCTGGGTAAGCTAAGCAATTGAGCATGTTAGTTCGTTACAAAACACCTACAACACCCCCCTCGCTCCTCTTCTCTGCCAACCAGCAAAGAACAGTGACAAACCAGAAACCAAAATTATCAAGAAACCGGCAAAATGAAAATCAGAACTGAAAGCTCTTCAAGTAGGACCTGATTTTCTTTTTCTTGATAATACCTGCAGAATGTCACTGAAATGTTCTGGCTTGTATCTTTCCCAATTCCGGCGCACTTCTCCCCATGTTTTGGCTAGTGGAGATGGTACCAAAAATGCCACCATTATCGGTGATGTGTATGTTCATCCATCAGCAAAAGTACATCAAACAGCTAAGGTATTCTTTTCATTACTTCCAGTAAAGCATTGTTGGATGGTCTGGAAGAAAGTTGCATGACTTAGAATTCTTAAAGAAGTCAAATTCCAAGTGTCTTAATGTTACATGGCAATGATATCTTGGCTATGAAACTGTGCTGTATTTCTGCTTCACCCATCCCCGCTTTTCTTCTGTGGGATCCATTTTTTGCTCTTTTTTCTTGTCTTGTTTCCAAATTATTATTAATTAACTGCGCTGAAGTGAGCATATGGACTAGAGAACCAATGTTCCCATAGTTCGCATTGTTTTCCTTCATAATTTTTCTACTTCCAAGTTTGGAATATATTTGACTTTTGTGCAATGATGGAAACAGATTGGTCCCAATGTCTCAATATCTGCTAATGCTCGTATAGGAGCAGGAGTTAGGCTCATAAGTTGTATCATCCTAGACGGAGTTGAAATCATGGTATGTAAACAAATAAAAAATTGTATAGAATTTAAAGAAAGTCAAAACTTTTAACTTGGGACATGTATATTCGTTTATCAGGAAAATGCAGTCGTCACGAATGCAATTGTCGGGTGGAAATCTTCAATTGGGCGATGGTCCCGTGTCCAGGTAAGTTTTTAAGTATCAGTTACTTCAGTGAATTGACTTTTAGCTTCATTCAGAAATGCTTCTGGACTGTCTATTGTCGGTGCATTACCGATGACATAAACGATCTTTTCTTTTATTTATGTCACAAACTGTACCGGTTAATATTTGCTTATGGTACAAATCCTTGAAGTCTTTGTGTTTTTATTCTTTCTTTATATTCTGCATCTGACAAAGTAACTTACAGGCTCAAGGAGATTACAATGCTAAACTCGGGATTACAATCCTTGGTATCTTCTTAATGTCCTTGCTCCTTTTTTTTTTTTTTTTTTTTTTTTTTTTTTTTTTTTTTTTTTTTTTTAATACTATTGGGATAAATTTACATTATAATAAAAATTGGTTCAAAACCTAATCTATTAAACTTTCTCTTATAACCTCGATATAACAATTCGTAATTGATCAGTTTGCAATTGGACAAGCGAGATTTATAACGAGCAGACAAAACCCAATTGCGAACTTCCATGTCGGAGTTGTGAAATGAAGTTTATAAGATTAGATTGTAAGTGTAGTATTGCATTTTACATTAACCTTACATAATCTGCATTGTAAAAAATTATGATCCAGGTGAAGCTGTGTCTGTTGAAGATGAAGTTGTGGTGACCAACAGCATTGTCCTTCCAAACAAGACACTCAATGTCAGTGTTCTAGAGGAAATCATTCTTTAATAGAGATGAACACATCTCGCATCTATGTATGCCCACCATTGGGCTCTTTCTCCTTATGGTTGTAATAATTGCTCTTACTGGTTTTCAAGTAGGGAAACCACTATTTATTTAAATTAGTTTATTACCCATTTGTAAATTGACGTTTTCTAGATGAGAATAAAATATTAACGATTTGGCTATTCTACCACTGTTAAAACTGGAAGACTTCCAAATGAAAATGAATAGGGAAGTAAAACATGAATATAATGAGGTGCGTAATTCGTAAGGAAAGAATAATGTTGAAAGGGGAATTGCATAATGAAGAGTATCACTGTTCTCCAAATGACAAATACATCCTGCTGTTCCTCAGGATGATGAACAACAATCTTCTCTGTAAAGGATATTTCATGAATATGACCAGCTTAATATTACATACCCAACAAGCACCACCACAGGGATCTGGGAGTACACCATTACTGGAGCGTCACCAACCACATCTGATGCACTACAATCAGTTCTGATATCTTCAATGATGCTGATACCCAAATCTACAAAAATCTACAACTGAGGACTCAGTGGCTGAAGATTTAATATGTTGAACAATTCTCCCTCCAGTAGGTCAAAATTTAGATTGATTAAGCATTTTACCTTTTTTTTTTTTTTTTTGGCAGAACTAGTGAAAGATGAAATTAACTTTTGTACAATAAGGTTATCAACTGAACTAAGTTATATACACCATAATGGACAGAAACAACTCGCAAAAGGTTTGACATGTAGGGTAGAATAATCCTCTTAATCTTTGCACCTAATATATCGATTTTCAAATTGAAGATAATTATAGCACCCAGTATACGACATCAGAATAAAAGGAAGCAAACAAACCTCAAAACTGATCACAGCCATACCATTAATGCTTCCAATATTTGATTGCCTCCATACAGAGACTGGTACTCTGTTTTCCGTCAAAGACTAATAGAGGTATGAATCCTCCAAGATGGAGTCTAAAGACCGTCAATACCTCAATACAGCACACATGATAACGGTCTTAGTCTTTGGACTGCTAGAAAAGGAAGCAGAAGAAACCCCAAGTCCAGTGCCCATTGAATTCCTCATTCAATCTATGATGTATGATGCATGATGCATCCATAGGGAAAAGGAGCAAGCCGTCCTCTGAATGTCAAAGAGTCAGAAATAGTCCAGGGTCATCAGCAAATCTGAATGCCAATGGTCTTCACAATTTGAATTGATGAGGAAAACGGCCACATCTGCTCTGCAGTCTCAAAATCTCTTTAGCTAAACCTTGATTACCTGTTAGTAGAAGCCCATTCAAAATCCGGTTCAAAGTGAACTTCCTAGGCATGAATCCTCTATCAACCATCTCAATCAACAACTTCCCAGCAACCAACAAATCATCAGATTTCTTCCTCACAAACATTGCACTTATCAAAATATTGTATGTATCTAAATTTGGCAAGCAATCTCCAGTACCCATCTTCTCAAACAAATCTAAACCCTTCTCAACATCTCCCGCATCACAAAAGTACCTAATCATAATATTGTACGTCTGTACATTTGGCTCACACTCATCATCCTTCATTCTTCCCATAAATTCCATAGCTCTTTCCATTTCACCTGCATGACACAACCCTCTAATCACCACATTATAAGTCGTCAAATTGGGCACATAACCCTTCCTCACCATCTCCTCAAAAAGCACTACAGCATTCTCAACAGAATCCTTTTTACACAAAACTTGAATCAGAGCATTATAAGTTGCAACTGATGGGAGCACAGCCTCCTTAATCATCCCATCAAAAACCTTTCGAGCTCGCTTAATTTCACCCACAACACCAAACCCATGAACCACAGTGGTGTAAGTAACAACATCCATTTCACATTTCCTCTTCTTCATCTCCAAAAAGAACCTCCAACCTTCTTCAATTTGACCAGCTCTAAAATACCCTTTAAGCATTATATTATAAGTCGTCAAATTGGGTTCTAATCCTCTATCAACCATTTCCGTCAAAATCTCCAAAGCCTTTCCAGTCATCTTAACCAAACACCACCCATTTGCAATTACATTATAACTAACAACATCAGCCTTAAATTTACCCCTAAAAATCTTAAACAAGTTGTAAGCTTTCTCAACTTTCTTTTCTTTACACAACACATCAAGAATGGTATTAAAAGAAGTCAAACTTTGACCACAACCATGTTCATGCATTGACAGAAAAAGCTTTACTGCTCTATCAGCTTTCCCAGCAGAGGCGTACCTTTCAGCAATGATTGCAAATGTCTTTGGGGTGGGGCCCAGGCGGAGGGATTTCATCCGGTGCACGAGGGTCCATACAGTTTTGTAGTCGCGCAGGCGAGCTGCGAGGTCAACGGCGTGGTCAAAGGAGGAGAGAGAGTGAGAGTAGGTTGGGTGATAGGAGAGGACGGTGAAGAAGTGGAGAGCCTTATAGGCATGGTTCCAGAGGCGTTTGATAATTTGGTCGACAAGCTCTGGAGTCCAGGGGAGAGTAGGGGAGTGGAGGGTTTGGGTTAGGGTTTGTGGGTTAGTCGAAGTGAGGATGAGGCTGACTATGGCGGTTGGATCGGCTGCCGGTGGTGACGGTGACGGTGTAAGGGTGGTGGTGAAGGGTGAGTGAAGAGAAAGACGCCTACTATGGTGAGGGGGTATTTTCAGTAAAGTAAACATTTGGGCTCACATTTAATTCGCATAAATCGCACTACCTTATTTAGTATTTAAAAACTCCTTTGTGTAAATTTCTCTTTTTCAGATAGACCTGAAAACTTCACAAATACAGTGTGTCAAATCTTCGTCCAAATTATGGAAGTTAGCAACTTTCAGTAGTTAAACCTAATGGTCATAAAAATTCTACTAAAGTAAGTTAATTTTGTATGCGATTTACACTTAACTTCTTTTTGTTTGTTTTGGGTAATTGGGATGTCTGAGCCAACTTGTCCACCCCTCAATTAATCTCGAGAGTCCATTGAACACCTTACAAGCTCAAAATGACCAAATAAGCACTATTTTAAAACCCGGTCTGGCCTGACTGGTTTAACCAATGTTGGAGTTATCGACTACTTCAGCATTAATGGGTTACGCAGTCACATTCGAGGGTCCCACTGAAGGATTTCTTTAAGTTATTAATTCCTTATTGGGTTGAGCGTAGGAATAGGAATACTTGTAAAACTAGGTTTTATCACTTAAACCTAGTGTATAAACATATTTTTTTCTCTTGTTATAAGTGTGATAGTAATCATAGGGCAATTCATTCACTGTAAACAAGAGAGGTGAGAAAATATTACAATAATATTGACTCGGTTGGACGTAGCTCATATTGGGTAAACCAGGGTAAATCACGCGTGTTATTTTCTCTGTGTTTATTGTCTGTGATTTGCTTTATTGTTATTTTGTTCTTGCTGCTGTCCCTATTTCGTTCAATTAGTATCAAAGCTTTCAGGTTTTGTTAGATTGTGATTTAGAGATGGCGGGATCAAAGGTTGAGATTGAGAAGTTCGACGGCAAACGCTTCGAGCTTTTGAAACTACTGATTGAGGATCTTCTCGTTGATAGGAATCTATGGGGTGCAATTGTGAATGATAGGCCGACAGTTAGGACAATCGCTATTATGACGAGTGAAACGTCTAGAACTGCAACGTCAAGTATGTCTGGGTCTAAACCTACAACGACATCTAGAGGAGAATTATCAGTGACTGATCGTGCCGCATTTGCTGAATAGGACAAGATGGATCAGAAAGCTAGAGGTTTGATTTGCATATGTCTTGAGGACTCTGTTCTAACGAATGTGATGGATCAGGATACGGCTAAGGGTTTATGGCAAAAGTTGGAAAATATGTATTTGAGTAAGTCTTTGGTGAACGTGTTGTTCCATCGCAAGAAACTCTACAATCTCCGTATGCATGATAGGGATTCTTTTGCTGCACACCTGGATGAGTTTAATACTTTGGTGAATCAACTGTTGGTTATGGATGTACAACTCACCGAAGCTAAGAAAGTGGTAACATTGTTATGCTTGCTGCCTGATACGTGAGACAACCTGATTGTTGCGATTGTTGGTGGAGGATCAACACATATGTCTTGGGAATCTATATGTTCTACATTGTTAGCAGACGATATGCGGCGAAGAGGTTCAGAGGGTTCGTCTAGGGATGCTCTAACTGCTAGGGGACGAAATCTTGATAGGAATTCTAATAAGTCTGGCGACAGGGGAAAGTCGCAAGGTAGATCTAAGAGCAAGGATAAAGGTCAGATTAAATGCTAGAGATGTTAGGAATTTGGGCATTTCAAGAAAGATTGCAGAAACAAACCAATAAAGGGGAAGGAAGTTGAAACCTCGTACAAATGGGAATCAAATGGTAATATATATGTGGCTGTTGCGTGTATGGCTAGATCAGACCAATCAGTCTGGTATGTTGATACTGGTGCGTCATTCCATATGACACCTCATAAGGAATGGTTTTGTGAGTATGAGACATACAATGGAGGAAACGTTTTGTTAGGAGATGATACTCATGTGAAGATTATTAGCCATGGGAAAATCAGGTTGAGGTTGCATGATGGTTCAGTGAGGACGCTCCCTGAAATGATGCACATCCCTGGTATGAGTAGAAATCTGCTCTCTGTTAGAACAATGGCTGATGCAGGTATAGTATTTAGTTGTGATAGAACATCCTACAAAATGACTCGAGGATCTATGGTTATTGCATGAGGAGTTCGATATGGAACACTTTATAGGCTGTGGGCATCAGTTGTAAGAAATTCCTCTTTGGGTGGTTATGTTTCGGAAAAGGAGGCTGAAAAAGAAATTGATTCTAAAACATTGTGGCATCAACGAATAGGGCACATTGGGGAGACGACTTTGTCTACTTTGGTGACTCAGAAAATGGCTGAAGGTATTCCTAATTGTTCTATGAGTTTTGGGTTTTGTGAGGAATGTTTACAAGGCAAGCAGAATCAAGTCAGTTTTTAGTCAACATGCACGAGAGCAACAAAAATTCTAGAGTTAATTTATAGTGACTGACATTTTTGGGCCCACTCCAGTGGAATCTGTTGGTAAATCCAGGTATTACATATCTTTCATTGATGATTTTTCTAGATACTGTTGGGTTTATTTCATGCACAACAAGTGTGAAGCTTTTGAGAAATTTTGGGAATTTAAAGCTTTAGTTGAGAATCAGTTTGACAGGAAGATTAAAGCTTTGCGAACTAATTATGGCAGTGAATTTTGCTTTGGTAAGTTCGAGCAGTTTTGTGCAACACATGGAATTGCAAGGTAGAAAACTACACCTTACACGCCCCAGCAAAATGGAGTGGTTGAACATCTCAATCGGTCACTGTTAGAGAAAGCTAGGTGTATGTTGGATATGACAGATTTGGGGTCTGAATTTTGGGCTGAAGCTACTGCAATGGCTTGTTATTTGAAGAATCGGTCTCCTACCTCTTCTGTTAAAGACATGACATCGTATGAAGCTTTGTATGGTAAGAAACCTAATATGTTCTTTATTCGGGTTTTAGGTTGTGATGCGTATATGCATGTGCCAAAGGAGAAGAGAAGTAAGCTTGATAGAAAATCTGAGAAATGCAAGTTTGTGGGGTTCAAGGATGGCCTCAAGGGGTACAAGTTATGGAATCCTGTGAGTAGAAGCATCATCTACAGTAGAGATGTTATTTTTAGAGAGGTAAAACAACTTATGGGAGCTCCTAAAGATCTTGAACAGTCAAAGAAAATTCAGTTTGATGTGACTATAATAAAGCAAGAGAATGAGGTGACTTCTAATGTTGCTGTAGAGACTGATAATGTAAAGCCTACATAATCTGATCATGAAGATAAATTTGATATTGTGATTGATAAGGGTTTTGTGGATGGTTCAAAGGAAGATTCTGATGATGAAGTTGTGGTGTCGCCAACTTTGAAAAGATCTACAAGAGTTAGAAAGGCACCAGTTCGTTTCTTTCTAAGTGTCTTGAGTGGATTGCATGCTTTGAATGTGACAGGTGAAGAACCTAGGAATGTAAATGAAGCAAGAGCCATGGAAGATGCAAATCTGTGGGAGCTTGCAATGAATGAAGAAATGCATTCGCTGTACAAGAATAATACATGTGCTTTATGTAAATTGCCTAAGGATAGAAAGGCAATTGGTTGCAAATGGGTGTTCAAAAAAAAGCTGCAGGCAGATGGAACAATTGCAAAGTATAAGGCGAGGCTCGTTGCAAAGGGATTCTCATAGATTAAGGGTGTTGATTATGGTGAGACATTCTCTCTTGTGGCCAAGTTAACATCAATCAGGTATGTTCTATCTATTGCTGCTGCGTATAATCTTGAAATTGAGCAACTTGATGTAAAGAAAGCATTCTTACATGGAGATTTAGAGGAGGAAATTTACATGAGGCAACCTAAGGGGTTTGTATGTAAAAGGAAGAAAGACTTGGTGTGTAGGTTGAGGAAGTCTCTGTATGGACTTAAACAATCACCAAGGATGTGGTACCAAAAGTTCGACTCTTATGTTCTTCAACATGGTTTTAGCCACAGCAATGTGGATCACTGTGTGTATGTAAAAAGGTTAGAAAATGTCTTTGTTATTTAAACCTTATATGTAGATGGCATGTTGTTGATAGGGAATAGCAAGGAGTTAATAAACTCTGTGAAGGGTTTGTTTGCTGCACAATTTGACATGAAGGATCTTGGAGTTGCAAATTTTATTTTGGGTATGCAAATTACAAGAGATCGTCAGAGTTATAAACTGTGGTTAGGGCAAAGAAAGTACATTGAGGAGGTGTTGAAGAAATTCAACATGGCAAACTGCAAACCTGTAAAGAATCCAATGACTTTGGGAGTGAAATTGTCTACTGATCAATGCCCTAAGTCTGAGGAAGATGTTGAAGAAATGACACATGTGCCGTATGCTAGTGTTGTAGGTAGTTTGATGTATGCCATGGTATGCACGAGACCTGATATTGCACGAGCAGTGAGAGTTTTAAGTCATTTTATGTCAAATCCTGGCAAGGAGCATTGGAGTGCTATAAAGAGGGTTCTTAGATATCTGCATGGGACTTCTAATTTAGCATTTGTTATGGGGCCATGGTGACTGGGGATGAGCTAGATGTGATAGGTTTTGTGGATGCTGATTGGCTCGATAGTAGGCGTTCTACAAGTGGGAATGTATTCACTCTATTTGGAGCTGTTGTTTGTTGGATGAGTAAAAGGTAAAGTATTGTGGCTTTGTCATCGACTGAGGCAAAATACATGGCATTGACACCTGCTAGCAAGGAAGCTATGTGGCTTCAAAGATTGAGTTTAGAGCTTGGTTTCAAGCTTGATGCTATGAAGATAGGGTGTAACAATCAAGAGGCTATTTACTTAGCCAAGAATCCTGCCTTTCATTTGCGATCAAATCACATTGACATACAATACCATTTCATCAGGCAAAAGGTGGAGGAAAAATTGGTGTTGTTGGAGAAGGTTTATACACTTGTTAATGTTGCAGATTTTCTTACCAAGGCTGTGAGCTTATCAAAGTTTACATGGTGTGTTAATGAGGTATGCCTTCATTGTGTGAAGTATTCGCCAAATGGGAGAATGTTGGAGTTGTCGACTACTTCAACATTAATGGGTTACACAGATGCATTCGACGGTCCTGCTGACCGGACAGCGGAGGGAGGCCCCGTTCCCT